TGAAGCTGATTAAATCGCAGGACCCTCTGATTTGATGGTCCTTATTCAAAATCCTTATTGATGAGGAGATATCAGCTGAAATCAGGGGAAGGCCCGTAGAGAGCTCTCTGTTCTCAGCATGGTCACAGGACAAAATCAGTCCTGACAGACCTGCAGGGCTGCAGCTGCCCCTTACGTGAACTCTCAGATTTCTGGGATTCCAGAGAGAGACGGATTCTTTCTCCTCCTCCGCGGGGCCGTCCTCAGCGTGCGTGCCAGTACAGATCCAGCCGCCCGCTCTGATAAGAGATCCCCGGTTGTCAGGGCTCAGAACTGCTCCGTCCCCCGTCTGTTGGCCTGGCTCCGTCACCACTCTTAACAGCGAGAGTCGGGTCTAGTCCTCCCGCTAGCCAGAGAATTACATCATTGACATGCAGCGTTCAAAAGACATAAAAGAAACACATTGCACTTTGTCCTTGACATGTACAGTACAAGGTAATGTATGTTCACACACGCTGTGATAAATGTTTGTCATTTCTTCAGAGCCTCATTATGTTCCCTTCAACCCTCCTGAGTATATAATTCGCCTGAGCCTGTCAGCAACGTAGCAGTTGGCCATATTTCGGTGTGTGACTCAGAAGTACAAATGAGTATAAATGTGTTTTTGGTCCTTCGCTTAGACACAAACAGTGATGTAGCTCTCCCACGGCACAGACATTCTCCTCCGCCACCAGATGCCATTTCCGCTGCTTTGTCAATCTCTACTTTTCACGGTGCTTCCCACACAAGCAACTAGTCTTGGAGCAGTTCAGTAATTATTTGTGCATGACAGATGCGAGAAGAATTCATTTCTCTCTACGGGATGCATGAAGAAAACATAAGCGTGCTAATTAAGTAAAATTGCTTGCGGGGGGCGTAAACCAAGCTGATATATAGCATCTCATTTCAAAAATATATATGTTTTATTCATTACACCACACCACTCAATGTTACTGCTTCGTCTGTCATTATGTGGTAGATAAAGACAATGTTATTTGCAACAATTGACCGAATCAAAGTATCTTAAGTGTATCAAACCCCTGCTAAAGTGAACCAAGTGTTATTTAGATTCAATGCTAACCTCTCACACACACAGGCTTAAAGACCTCAATAGACTGCTATTTGTAATTCACCTGTAGAGCTGCAGAGTGCCATTATTTCCCTCTTCCCCTGCTTCCCTATTCTTGACTTTGATGTGTGTTAAAAGAGAGGCTGCTAGGAAAAGCATCTTGTTATTTCTGCATAACATTGAAAAATGAGAGAGAGGGTAGACACCTGTTTCCAGTAACTATATCTTTATCACACTAGAGAAATCTCAAGTGATGATGGCAGTCTTTCGTTGGTAGCAGCATTGGTATAAGTAAGTCATGCTGCCATGTATCATTAGTGGTTGTTCTAAGGACATCGAGAGGAAGAAGAAAGGCCTCCTTTAGTTTATTTTAGCTATGCCTTCTGATATGGAACGTTTTGCTTTGCTCAATCAGTTTTCAGTAAATCTGTAGTGTATTCCCCTTGCTATGCAGTGCACCTTGATGCATATTCAAAATAATTGGAGGTCTGTACAGCGCTGGTAACCGCACTGATTTACCCTCGCTGGACTGCAGCTCAAACGTTTGAAGGCTAGCCGTGTTTATAGACAGTTAAAATATTAAAAGCAATAATTACAAATGATGCAACCTTTCATCCGATGGGTTTTATGTAATGATGACCCTGTATTACATGGGTTTGAAGTGATGACGATTCATAAAATAAGAACCTTGCATCATTGTTCAATGATGATGCTTATGCTTTGAATGGTGGGGACCTTGGGAGGTTCAGCGCCCCTAACACACACCATGCCAATGTGCTTTTGTCTGCACAAGTTCTCAACAGCAAGACTATGTGACTCTTCAAAGGGAAAACAATGGCACTTGAAGGCAGACACTAACAAGGCCAATGGTGCATTCATGCGCTCCTTGAATGGTCTCATTTCTCGAGTTTGAAAGTTGTTCTTGTTATCCAACTTTGGTGTTATTTAAACGATATGCAAACTGCTGCTCAGTTCATTCATGGTCAGTATATCAAAACTATTTCTCAAATCAACTCCTTTAAAGGTGGGGTAGGTCATTTTGGAGAAACTAGCTCGAGTGCGCTAGAATTTGAAAATACACAGCCGGAAGAAATCTGCTACTTCCTTACAGAGCCCCTCCTCCAACACACACGAACGCACACATGACCAATGAGGGCACGAGATAAGTTTGTGCACAGATGGAAGGCTGACAGGCAGGTAGGCCATCCAGTTATTTTAGCCGGGCCGGCTCAGATGATTGGTCCTGCTTTTTACAGCGCTACGGCTTCCACAGATGATATTTGTTTATGGATTTTTTGTCAAAGCACTTCAGATATTCATTGCTATCGGGATGTTAAGAGCATTCCATGGAATATAACAAAAACTGTGTCTCAAGCCGGTTTCAGCGACATCACTTACTGCTGCTGAAAAAGCTTACTCTGTTCTGAAAATGTTCTCCTTGTTGAATGTTTAAACAGACGAAGCACATAAAGTGTATAAAGCCCCGTAAAGCTAGATCCTGAAACCCTGACAAAACCTTTTGTGACCTAGCAGCTCAAATTCAAGTTTAATGATTATTTTTATTTTTCACCGACATCCCGTTCAATGATTACCTACAACTGGATCTTTTTTGTCAACACTCCAGTTCCCCCTGCTTTAGAGCCACGAAACCCATCAGAAACTAAAGTCTGTGTCTCTAGTGGCTTATCAACGGGTCCACATTGCATTTTAGTGAGAGTGGCCATTTTGGAAGCGTCCTCCCCTACAGTCAGCACCATTGTGTTTGCCTCTGAGAGCGTTTTCCATTTGGCCGTCTGACAGCGCAGCCTGGGAAGTTTGTGGTGGTGTTTGTTGCAAAAGCCTGGGGTGAAAATGAAATGGAATAGCCCACACACAAGCGACTGAAAGTGCATATTTAATCTGTTCTCTGCTTATCAGCGTGGTCGTACTGCAGGGGAGAGGAGAGAAAGTGGGCAAGGAGGAAGGGAGGGAGGGAGGGAGGAAGGGGAGGGGAGGAGGAAGAGAGGATGTTTTGGATTGGGTTGGACGCTGCTTCAATCCCACGATGATGAAGCCATTAAAGTGAACAGCAGCTGGCAGACACACCCCCCAAACAAGTTAAAGCTTCACTAGAGGAAACACGGATTATCGCCTGACAAGGAGGTGTGTGTGTGTGTGTGTGTGTGTGTGTGGTCAGGCGATAATCCGTGTTTCCTCTAGTGAAGCTTTAACTTGTTTGGGGGGTGTGTCTGCCAGCNACACAAAACAAACCAGAATAAACGTAATAATAAAAAAATAAAAAAACAGCCATATAATAAAAACAATAGACCACTGAAATTAAATAAAAGCAACAATCTACTTGTTTACGAATGCTAAGGAGAAGAGGTGGGTTTTAAGACGGGATTTAAAAAGAGACAGTGTGGGAGCCTGTCTGATTAAAAAGGGCAGGTCGTTCAACAGTTTAGGGGCGGCAGCAGAGAAAGCACGGTCCCCTCTGTGCTTAGACTCCTTGATAATAATTTGTTAAGACTGAGGTAAAAGAAAATCCAAAATTAGTCATTAGACACTCACAATTACTTACCATTTATTTAAGATCTAAATTTGATCTACAGTTATAAATTACTACTTGTCTACAAGATATGACCAATAGCTGGCCAAGTAAAATATTTTTAACCACCCTTTGAACCTTTCTAAAGATTAGATAATACACTATTTAGGGTTTTTAAGCTCAATCGTGTCCCTACAATTCCTACCTTGAAACCCCTTTGAACACAGGTCACCCTGGGTGCCGTATATCCTCCAACGGCTCCAGAGCCCCGAGCCTTTGTAGATCATTATGCTCCTCTCATTGTGGTTGCCCCAGTTTAAGTGCAGGTCTTCGTTTTGTAGGCCAAACAGGGTCTCGTTCTTGCACTGCCAGTGTTGTAGTTTATTGCTCTCATCACATTCAAAGAGGCGCACCTTCACCCAGTCTCTAATTTCTGTGGCCCCCATACAGAGCTTTTGGGACAGACTGAGGACGCGCGATTCGGAGGCCCAACGAAACTGCTGCTCCTTGGCATGAGGATCACATCTGGCCACCGTTAGGGAGGTGGCACTCTCCACCCTCATGCACTTCTTGTGGTTCTCATTGAAGATCAGGAAGGTGCCACTGTCTGGAGGACAATAGAACCACATCAGCAAATTCATTTACAATCAGATTACTCTCATTAAAGTTAAGTTGAATAGACAGCAAAATATGTCATCAATACGTACCTATGTCTGCAGTGATGCAGACAACTTGCAGGAGACAGAGGACCACAGCAACATTCAAACAGGGTAACATTATCCTTAAAGTTTTCCAGTCATGAGAGAAGGGGTCCGGTGTGTGCTAAGGTGTGCGACATGGAGCAACAATCACACAGAGGCATGGTGTTACCCCCCTTAATCACACTGATGGGTATCCTGTCACATGGCTAGCCAAGATTGTTCAAACGACAGCATTTTCCATGAACTTCCACAGATTTTTTTTTGGCAGAGGAAGTCAGGAAGCGAGCAATCTCTTGAACAAGAAACAGAAAGTCACCAGTGATTGCTTCAAGATAACCAAGTGTCAGGATGGGACAATAACTATTTTTAATAAATTAAAGGCAGAAGAGGAACCAGATGATTGACTTTGGGAATTAATTGATCCAAGCAGGCTTTTCTAAGGTTCTATTGCCTTTAACTGAGATTTTTGATCTTCTATAAATAGCTGTAATAAATATGTGCAAGAGCGCAGGTGACTTTCAGCCAGATTGGCTTTGAAGAAGTTTGACATCTGATCAGGAATGTTCCGGTTTCAAAATATTAGTGCTACAGTAAACAAAGTTTAAATAAGGTTTTTGCAGCACTTTGCTGATGTGAGGGTTTTTCATGGGATAGTAGCCCCCTGTAGGTCCGCGGGGGCTTCGGGATGATACAAGTCAGTAGAAAGAGAGGAAATCCTGCTTCCTATTGGGGGAAGCGAGTGGAGATCTGACCACTTTAGCCTCAAACTGAAGGGATGCCCAGCAGTGGTGCAGACACGTATTTATGTAACAAAATGGTTGGAAAGTGGGTTCTTTATCATGCGAGTGGCTGTGTCTGAAACATTCTAGTTCAAGCGTGTATTGCACACATCATGAAGTGCTTTCTGAATGATTCAATACTTCTCATTCTCCAACATCCTAC